TGCTTCCCAGCTGGGGGTGGGGTCGCTTGAAACTTGTAGCTGTCCCACTAAGTAGAGTTGAAGATGGGACAGGTAAAGAAGGGATCCCTGGATCACCACACCCATCGTGTCTGTTTTTCCTTGTATCCTGTTAGAGGTTGCTACAGTTTTTGTCAGGAGATGGTTCCTTCCTCAGAGGGAGTATCATATCCCACAAGTTGTTTAGTTAATTGTTTTGTAGTGAAATACACAATTTATTTATCTTTTTAGTTTCATATATTTTATTTTTTAAAGGTCATCTATAAGTTTTGAGTGTTCTTATTTTACTCAAGTATTGAAGATGACAAGGACAATACTTCATTCAGGCTATAAAATTTTATTTAAATTATATGTTTTAGAATTAAATAAAAATGGACAATATTTTTCAAGTTCAGAAGTTGTGCCTTGGAGGGAAGAGTCAAATTATAAAGATTCAAATGCCTAAAAATCTAAATGCCTTACCGTCATCCCTCAGTATCTGAGGAGTGTTCTTTCCAAGAGCCCCCAAGTTTACCAAAATCTGCAGATGCTCAAGTCCCATAAAGTGTCAGGGCCCAACGTTATCATTTTGTGTGGGGAAATCCAGTTGTCCCAGCAGCTTTTGTTTTCATCTCTTGGAGTTTTCTGTATTGTACTTAAATTGAGGCAATAAAATGTAACTTCAATCTCATTTATACATTATATGTATATGTTCTAGCACCATTTTTTGTTTGTTTTTGCAAGAAAATGAACCCTTTTATTATGATTAAAGGGTCAGTACACCAAGATGACATAGCAATCCTATATGTGTATGCACCAAACAACAGAACTTTGAAATACATGAAGCAGAAACTTACAGAACTTGTAAGAGGAATAGACAGTTTCTCAATTATACTTCAGGACTTCATCATCCCTCTCCCTGCAACTGACAGAAATACTAGACAGAAAGTCAGGAAGGATGTAAAAAGTCTGAGTAATAACCCCAACCAAGAGGATTGTGAAGACATTTATAGAAACTTCACCCAGTGACAGCAAAATACACATTCATTTCAAGAAGCCTTACAGAACATTCAGCAAGATATACCACACCCTGGGTCATAAAACAAACTTGAATAAATTTAAACAATCAAACCAAACGTGAAACAAATAAGAAATCAGTAACAAAAAGATACCAGAAAATGCTCCAAACAGTAGGAAATGAAACAATATACTTCTAAATAATACACGGGTGATAGAGGAAGTCTCTAAGGGAATCAAGGGGTATTTAGAACTGAATAAATTGTAATGAAAACTTGTGGGATAAAGCTGGAACAGGAACTTTTTATAATAATGATTTGTTAGAAAAGAAAAAAAAGTTTCAAATCAATAATCTCAGCACCCCTCAAAAAATAAAAAGAGCAAAATACAACTAAAGCAAAGTAGAAGATAGGATATCATAAAGATCAGAACAGAAATCAGTGAAATTAAGAACAGAAAGGTAAAGGGACTTCCCTGGCGGTAAAGTGGTTAAGACTTTGTGCTCTCAATGCAGGGGGCATAGGTTCGATCCCTGGTTGGGGAACTAAGATACCCCATGCGCAGCACCATTTGTTGAAGAGAGTATTTATCCCATTGAATGGTCTTGGCACCCTTGTTGAAAATCAGTTGAGCAAGGATGTAAGGGTTTGTTTCTGAACTCTATTTCATTGGTCTCTATGCCTATCCTTTTGCCAGTACCACACTGTCTTGTAATAGGGTTTTTTGGGGGGTTTTTTTGGTGGTACGCGGGCCTCTCACTGTTGTGGCCTCTCCCATTGCAGAGCACAGGGTCTGGACGCGCAGGCCTAGTGGCCACGGCTCACGGGCCCAGCCGCTCCGCGGCACGCGGGATCCTCCCGGACCAGGGCACGAACCCGCATCCCCTGCATCGGCAGGCGGACTCTCAACCACTGCGCCACCAGGGAAGCCCTGTAATAGGTTTTGAAATTGGGAAATGGGAGTTCTCCCACTGTATGTTGCCCCCATACTGTTTTACACTTGGCCTCATTAGGACTTTTGTGGGGCCTTCATAAAAAGAAATTTGTTTTGTGACTGCATTGGTATAATGACGAATAAAATTCAGGTTTGATCATATTTTTCCCTTTCTTCTTTTAAAAGAAATTAAAACTTTTTGTTGCCTCTAAATATATCATGGTACCTAGGTACTGAGCCTAACAGAATTCAAACCTGTTTTTCACTCAATGTCTTATAGAACTGTTTTCCTTCATGGGTTTGTTGGGGGAGAGGTCTGCAAACTTAAAAGGGCCAGTTAGTAAATGTTTTATAAAGTCTTTGTAGGTCACATGTGGTCTGTCACATGCGTGTTTGCTTCTTTGTTTTCTTTTTCTTGCTTTTTTTTGTACAACCCTTTAATAATGTAGAAACGATTTTTCACTTTCCTCTGGTCCTCTCCTAGGGGCTGGGAAAGCAGAAGTCAGCTGGTATCAGAGTTCTCACTCTCTTGAAAGCTGTGCTGGGCTCTACCATGGGGCCCAACAGCTTGACCAAACACTTGCTGGGGCATTTGGTATTCGCAGTTTTTTTTTTTGGCACAGTGTGAGTCCCTGCATGGACACCTGTCTGTCTACTTGCCTGTTTGTGCAAGTGGTCCTCTCCCGGCTAGACACCAGACTGTTGTGCCTACATCAGAATCCTCTGTGTTCTTTTCCTGTTAATCCTTGTATTTGTAGAAACTCATTGTTTGTACATGTTCTCATGTGTGTGTGGTAGAATGACTTTGTGTAGGTTTCGTACTGGAAATATCAAAAGTGGTCCTCACATAGACAGTTCTCTGACTCAACCCCCTCGAATGGTTTAGTGTTTCTAGACACTATCTTGGAATATGTATGTATATATAGGCAAGATTGTTGAATGATTGTTTTGAAACACTGGTTCTCTGGGTTAGTTCCCCCCACCCCTACCCCTTTAGGGGTACATTTTTGGGGGTCAGTAATGAGGAGTGCTACTGGCATACTACAGTGCACGGGACAGCCCCTCCAGAACAAAGAGTTATTTGACATAAAACGTCAGTGCAGAGTGAAGAACACTTTTAAAACAAGACTGGTATCGTGGGTGGTTGTCTACTTAGTTTTCCATAGCCTTCCTCCCATTAGAAAGGAAGTACTCTTTTTAGTGTCCTGGTAAAGTCACTTGCTTCGGTTTTACTTTTCTGTGGCAGGCAGGTGGGTGGGAGCTACCCTGAGTGGGTGTTCAGTCTCTCTGGTCCCCTGCCAAGATCCGTCCTGCTCCTGACCGTGGTCCCTTCACCCCCTCTTCCTGCTGCCCCAGGATTACATCGCAGTGAAGGAGAAGTATGCCAAATACCTGCCCCACAGTGCAGGGCGCTACGCGGCCAAGCGCTTCCGCAAGGCGCAGTGCCCCATCGTGGAGCGCCTCACCAACTCCATGATGATGCATGGCCGCAACAATGGCAAGAAGCTCATGACTGTGCGCATCGTCAAGCATGCCTTTGAGATCATCCATCTGCTCACAGGCGAGGTAGGGCCCTGAGGCCAGGTGGGGCAGAGTGCCCTTAGTACACCCTAAAGCCAATGGCCGCCCCACGATATGCATGCCAGGGCGCTCCAGTTTTAGGGGTGAAGGGTCGGGGAGGGATGCTTGCCCGGTATCTGGCTCATGGCCCCCTTCTTTTAGAACCCCCTGCAGGTCCTGGTGAATGCCATCATCAACAGCGGCCCCCGGGAGGACTCGACCCGCATTGGGCGAGCTGGAACAGTGAGGCGGCAGGCCGTGGACGTGTCCCCGCTGCGCCGTGTGAATCAGGTGGGCTTGGGGCTTTGGGGCACACGTGGGTGGCCAGGAACAGCCACCAGGCTCTGGCAGAATCCTGCCTGGGGCAGCAGAGGCTGGCAAGTGGGAATGTTCGTCTCTGTCTGCATGTTTACCTGAGTGTCAGGTAATGAAGGCTTCCTGGATTCCCACCCCACGCAGAGCACGTCCTAGCTCTGGGCCCTCTCCTGGGCAGCATTAGATTGAAGGGCCCGTTTCATTTGGGTATATGTTTTTACACTGTTTTTTTTTATTTTCTTGGACCATTTGAGAATCAGTTGCAGGTGTTTTGACCATTTCCCTGTTAACATTTCAGTGGGTGTCCCCCTAGAATAAAGATGTTCTGTCCCCACCCTCACCCCCAAGAAATGTAACAGCAATCTAACATTTGACATTACATCACTGTTACAGTTTATGGAGCTGTCCCCAAGCATACCCTTTCTAGCTGTTCGTTTTCAGTCAAGGGTTCCAGGCCAGGAACACATTGCATTTCCCTGTCATGGCTAGTTTTAAGTCACCTGTCATCAGGGACCCAGCTTCAGCCTTTGTGTCCGCACACTTTTTTGTGCCCCTCAGTCTGATCCCAGATCTAGCAGCATGGCACCTGGGCAGCGCTGTGGGCTCCCACTGTGTCTTGCCTCAGTTGGCCTGCGGATGGCAACGTGGTAGGCAGCATTTGTTGGGTCCCAGGGTACTGGAGAGCCGTGTCCCTGCGTGGTGTAGGGGCAACCCCTACTTAGCACAGGAACCCCTGTGCTCCCTAGGCCATCTGGCTGCTGTGCACAGGTGCTCGTGAGGCCGCCTTCCGGAACATCAAGACCATTGCCGAGTGCCTGGCAGACGAGCTCATCAACGCTGCCAAGGTGGGTGAGGACACCTGCGGGGGGGGGGCACGAGTCTCAAGGGGAGGGTCCTCCGACATTGGAACTAACCATCCCTTCTTGCAGGGCTCCTCCAACTCCTACGCTATCAAGAAGAAGGATGAGCTGGAACGTGTGGCCAAGTCCAACCGCTGATTGCCTGGCCACAGCTGCAATAAACCTGTTTGCCCTTTGGGGTGGCCCCACCCACCTGTGCCACTGTCTGTGCTCAATGGGGAAGGGTATCTGGGAGCAGGGGGTGAGGGGCAGGATGACTGGTGTTTCTGAGGAGCTGCCCATGTTCCTGGCATGTCTTCTGGTCTGTTGGGACCTGGACCCACCAGGGAAGTGCTCGGCTCAGGAAGCACCACTGACTCAGAACCATGGCACCCTGGGCTGCAGGCCTGGCTGCCTGGACCGTTCCAGCAGGTGTTGGAAAATGAGGGGTGGGGTTGTCCTGGCAGAGATGTCACTGGTCTGGGGAGGGGCTTGGTGGCTGCAGCCCACTGCCCTGAGAGGTGTGTTGCCAGGAAGCAGCCCCAGGGTGAGGAAGCCAAGGCCTGGGCTCTGGACCAAGACAGTTTCTAGCCCCTTGTCATTGGCTGGAGAGGGCTGGTCTGGTCCAGTCTACTGTGGGGTCAGCCTGCCCGGGACTCTAGAAGTCCCACTCTTCTTCCTGGACACGCTGCCCCTGCCCAGAGCCACTGATAGCCCAGGTTGCACTCACCCCACCAGTGGCTCTAGGTGGAGGATTCATGAGGTGTTGAAGACTGGGAGTGGTGGTGGGGACCCCCCCTCCTGATGAGCCTGGACTGTCAACGTCCTGTCAGCCTGTGCCTCCTTCCTTGCACCCCCGACATCTGGCCGATGTCGGGCTTGGTGTTCCCTGTCCTGGTGGCCACCTCCCTAGGGGCGGGGAGGGCAGTGTGACAGGTGTGGTGGGAACCTGGCATCTGGAGGGAGTGGCCCCACCACAGGCACCCTCCCATGGGGAGGAGCATTAGTATCCAGCGGCAGGTAGGCCGAGGGTTGCGGGCAGAACAGGCAAGGAGGTGCCAGCCAGAGGGAGGAGGCACCAGCAGGTGGGAAGAGCCTGCTGGCCCGCTGGGGTCTGTCACTGGGGAGTCTGACTCCTGGGCTGCTGGCCACCTATCCTGAAGCTTCCATCCTCCTTCATCTGCTTTTCCCGTTTGTCTTCTGTGGTCTCCGAGGGTCTGTCTCTGCCCAGCTTTCCTGGGAGTCTCTGTCTCCTCTCCACGCCTGTCTGGGATCCTTCCTGGAGTCACCCAGGTCCACCTGGCTCTTGGCTGGGGCATCCCCCAAGTGTAGCTCAGAATCTGCGGTGCTCCGTTTGTCTGTCCCTGTCCCTAATCCTCTTCGGAACCCCTCTGGGTCTCACCTGCCTGTGTGCCTCCAGTCCAGATCTCTACTTGCACACTCCTCTGTCCCAACTCCCAGTCTCCTTGCCTCCTGGGCTCTGCTTCCCCTTCTCTGGACGCCCCTGCCCCGTGTGGGGTGATCCTTCCAGAGCCCAGCCCCTGACCCTCCCCAGATCCCCTCTGCCGTCTCCCCCCGGCCCCTTCGCTGCCTGACCGCCTGTCCCCGCAGGCCGGGTCCAGATGCCCTGCCCTCGGCCGCCCTGGATCCGCCGCCCCCGGGTCCCCCTGGGCTCGGAGCCTAGCATCCCGGGCTCGCCGTCCACACTCCGGCCCCCCAGCAGGGGAGAGGACGAAGACGAGGGTGGTGAGGAGGAAGGGGACGGCAGCCAGGGACCCATCCTGCCGCCCGCGTCCCCCGTGGAATGCCTCATCTGCGTGTCGCCCTTCGACAGCGTATTCAAGCTGCCCAAGTGCCTGGACTGCAGCCACGTCTTCTGCCTCGAGTGCTTGGCTCGTCTGTCTCTGGCCACGGCGGGCGGCGGCGACGCGGTGGCCTGTCCCGTGTGCCGCGCGCCCACGCGCCTGGCCCCACGCCGCGGGCTCCCCGCGCTGCCCACGCAGCTCGGCCTGCTGCCCGGCTCCGCACGCGCCCCGCCGCCGCTCCAGGGCTCCGTGCGCTTCGACCGCCGGCGCGGCCTGCTCTACGTGCGGCAGCCGCCGCCCGCGCCCGGACCGCGCAAGGCCCGCCCCCCGCCGCCGCCGCCGCCGCTGCGCCTCGGCCGCCCGCTGTCGCGCCGCCTGACGCTGGCCAGCTCGGCCCGGGTCTTCCACGCGGCCGTCGCCCTGGCAGTGCTTGTGGCCGCGGGCCTCGTGGTCACGGGCCTCTACATCATCTTCCTCATCCCGCGCGCCACCACCTCCAGCCCCGCTCGGCCCCAGCTCGTGGCGCTCGCCGCGGCGCCCGGCTTCTCCTGGTTCCTGCCTCGGCCCACGCCGGCGGCGCCCTGGATCCCCGGCTGGATGCCGCGCCCCGTGGGCCATGACCTGAACGCCGCCCCACCGGGGGCTGCAGAGGACGCGCTGGAGCCCGAGGGGGTTCCCGAAGAGACAGAGACGCCGGACGGGTCCTTGGACCGCAGGTGGGGGGCGGAGGCTTGGCCTGACTGGGCCCCGCGGGCACGCGGCGGGTGGAGGCGGTGGGGGGCGCAGTAAAAGCATCCGCGCCGCAGGCCCTGCCTCAGACCTGGGGACCCCAGTGTCATCCTGATGTTCGCCATGATCCCCGTGGAGGCCTTAGAGGGCGCATGGCAAGCACCCATTTCTCTAGAGAGGCCTGGCATCATTAGCACGGAGCAGGGACCCTCTCAAGGAGCACCCCTGACACCAATCTCTGTGGGCATCCAGCTGTGGGACCCCCATGTCTGTAAAGGTCCTGCTGGGAGGCACTCATACAGCTGGGGGTACACTCGATCCTCAGCTCTTGTGGGAGTCCAGCTGCAGGGTCCCTCTGACCAACATCGTGCAGTGGCCCTGCTAGGGGTACCCCATCCCTGATCCTCGTAAGTGTCCTACTGAATACACCCCAATCATCAGAACTCCAGGAGAACGCTCATCCTTGGCTGGCACCAGAGCTTAAGTCTCTGATTTACTCATCCTTTGGGCTTTCTGCAGGTGCTGGGGGCCCCCATCTTTGGATGGCAGACTATTCCCTGGCCACACCTGTGAGTGGCCCACTGCAGGACCAACCACCCCACTCCTCCCCAGGCTGTGGAGTTGCTGCCTGCAGGCTGAGCCTGGGTGGGATCCAGCCATCTCCATGTTGGTCCTGCATTTGCTGCCTTACAGATCTGGCTGGGGCTTGGGCTTGAAGGGGGAGGTGTGGCCTGGCCAGGACTGGGGAGAGACAGACAGGGCCTGAGCCTCAAAAACTGGCTTCCACTTGGGTCCTGAATATCAACTTGCAATGGGACCTCGATTTCCCCTATGGCTAGTGGCTTCTGAGATTCTCCTAATATGCTGAGGGGCAGCTGCGGTCACTGAGCCTCAAAGAGGCCAAGGTTGCCCTCTGGGTCAGACAGTGTCATGTGATTTGGGGTGAGGGATCGCTCCTGGACATCCCTGGCCACTCTCCTTAGCCACTAGAGCCCTCATCACCCCCATCTCCACTCATTAAATACTCAGTGTCGGTTACTTCACCTCCTCCAGGGCTCCATCAGCATTTTGTGGCAAGCCTGCTGTACACCAGGGCGAATGAAGCCTCAGCCCTCCTTCAGCAGGGAGAGTGGTCCTCCTCTCAGAAGCCTTCCTGGGTTAGTCACAGTGGTGTAGATAGCAGCCACCTTCTGCACAAACTAAACATGGACTTTCTGTCTCCCCCTCAGGCCCTGGAGCCCCGAGTCTGCCTCACTTCACCCCAGGTTGGGATCCAATATGCCCCTCCTCATGCCTTCCCTCCTAACCCCCAGGCTGGGAGAGTTACGGTGAGGGAGTAGAACTGGCAGGGATGGGCCCAGCCAGGGGGGTCAGAAGGGGCCCTTGGCTGGTGGTGCACGGAAGAGAAAGATGATGCTTTCTGCCTGAGGGTGTTCAAGGAAGGCTGCCTGGAGGAAGAGGCCTCGGGGCTGTATCTTTTTTTTTTTTTTTTTTTGCGGTACGCGGGCCTCTCACTGTTGTGGCCTCTCCCATTGCGGAGCACAGGCTCTGGACGCGCAGGTTCAGCGGCCATGGCTGATGGGCCCAGCCGCTCCGCGGCGCGTGATATCTTCCCGGACCGGTGCAAGAACCCGTGTCCCCCGCATCGGCAGGTGGACTCTCAACCACTGCGCCACCAGGGAAGCCCGGGGCTGTATCTTTAAGGATGCTAAGGGGTAACGCCAGCTGGCATTGAGGCGGGGGTGGGGGGGGCCCTAAGCGGGGAGCTGGTGGCTGAGGGCAGTGGGCAGAGCTGGCTCCTCCCTGTCCTAACGTGCTTCCTCCTCGGGACTGTGGGGAAGGGTTGCTTCTCCACCCTCCCAGCTGGGAGCCTGAGACCTCAGTCTCTCTTCCCGTAAAATGAAGCTGACTTCGATGTCTGCCCGCCCACTGCCCACGAACAAAGGGGCTGCCTGAAACCACCCCGGGGCTAGGATCAGAGGGGACTCCTCCCGACACTTGCCTGCCAGCCACTGTGGCCACCTGGAGCTGTGCTCTCCCGGCCCTCCCAATGCCCATTCCATCCCTGCCGGACGCACCCCCCCCCCCCCCCCGCAACGTATCTGCCCCAGGCTTGCTCCTCCTTCCACTGGTCCCAATGCCTGTGAACGCCCAGAGAGTGGGGGTTAGCCTCAGTGCCTGGCATGGGTGCCCAGGGACGCCTTTACCGGCCAGACTTTGGTTCTCGCTTCTGTAAAACGGGAGACAATAAACTACTTGCAGGAAGAATTCGTTCATCCACAAGTATTTATTGAGCGCCTGCTGTGTACCAAGGGGGGACTCGGGGCACCTTGTGAACGAGGGACTTCGCATGGCAGATGGTGTCCAGAGGGCTGAGGAGAGGAGCCATCATCTTGGCGACACTGCCTCCCCCTCCACGCTCGTGGGGCCCTCAACTCCCCAAACCTTTTCCAGGCCCTCCGCCAGGTCTCCTGCGTTTGCCCCCGAGGGGCGCCAAGTGCTCCACTCTACCGGGATCCAGCCAGCCTTTCTCCTCACGAGGGTCGGGGAGGCCTCTGCCCACACCACACTCGTCTCCTGTCATTGGGGCCTCTTGTGTTCAGGCCGAGGGAATAAGGCCCACGGGGGGCCCTCGCTGGACCCTGAGAGCGGAAGTGTCCAGCTTACAGATGGGGAAACTGAGGCTGGGGGCGGGGCAGGGCGTGGATTCGAACAGGGACCAGAGAGCTTTCTGCAAAACACCTCCCCTCAACTCCACACCCTGACAGGGCAGCCTCGCTTTTCCTTCCTCCCCGGGCCCCGAAACCGCAGCTCTCCTCCGTCCTCCGAGTTTGCCATCCTCTGAGTCTTTCCCGCTCACAAACCTAAGCGGTGTTCGAGGCGGGGAAAGCTAGGAGGCTGTCAGCAACGCGGACCAATCGGAGGCCGCATTCTGGGATGGGGGCGTGACATTAATTGCCATAGCAACCTGGCCCGCCTTCGCCCCGCCACTCTGTTGGGCTGCGCGCGCATCTTGCCCCTCCCGGAGCCTGGTGGGAGAAGCAGAGAAGGCGCGCCAGTGCTGATAGCCAATCGAAAGCTTGAGACTGTCGTTGCTATGGCGATTTTGCCCGCCTTCGGCCTGTCGAGCGCATCGTCTGTGTGTGTGTGCGCGTGTGCGTGTGTGTGTGTGTGCGTGTGTGTGTGGCATTGGGGGAGGCGTGTGTGTGTGTGGCATTGGGGGAGGCGTGTGTGTGTAATTGGGGAGGCGTGTGTGTGTGTGTGTGGAACTGGGGGAGGCGTGTGTGTGTGTGTGGAACTGGGGGAGGCGTGTGTGTGTGTGTGTGTGTGTGTGTGTGTGTCCGACCAATCAGGAGCCCGAAGCTGAAGCGAAGGCCGACCTGGGAAGTGCTGGGATCCTCCGTCCCAAGGGGGAAACAGGCTGGAATGGGGAGCGTCTCCCCTAGGGGCACACACCTTGGCGGGGCAGAGCTGGGCCTGTCCTCCTGAGCTGCGACTTCCTCTGCCCTGTCAGTCTCTGCAGAGGCTTGGGCCAGAGGGGCCAGGAGAGACCTATGACCTGCGTCCCTCTTTCTGGGGCATGTATGTTTCCACTCTAATGGCCATGGAAAACTCCACATTGGGTATGGGACTTCTCCCAGGAATCTTCCAGAAATCTACTCGTTTTTATTTTTAATAATAGCTTTCTTGAAATGTAATTCACACACCATACAATTTGCCCATTTAGAGTGTACAATTCATCGGGTTGTTAGTATGATCACACAGTTTATGCAGCCATCACCACTATCGAATTCCAGAACATTTACAAAAGAAGCCCCATACCCTTTCGAGTCATGTCCCATTTCTCCTTTTCCTCAACCCCTGGCAACCGTTAGTCTACTTTTTGTCTCTATGGATTTGCCTATTCAGGACATTTCGTACCAATAGAATCATACAGTTTGTAGAAATCCACTCTTAAAAACAGCAGTGTGTGGATGTTCTTCCCAACTGGTGGGGCCAGCTCAGCCATGAGTGTGGACTCTGAAGCCAGAGAGATGTGGGTGTGAGTCCTACTCCTATTATGGCCTTGTTCTTAGCCCTTCTGAAACTCACTCTCCACTTGGGGAGTGGTGGGGTGTACACTTGGCCTTGGGCTCTCCTGGCTTCACTCAGGCCGTGCTCCCTGCTCTCAGGTACTGGTGGACTGTGACAGGGCTGAGGGTCTCTGCTGGATTTTGAGGAGCCACAAGAGGCCAGACACAACAGGAGCAGATGGGCCCTGGGGGCTTGTCCTCTGGCCAGCGTTGTTTCAGGCCAAGCATTTGTCCCAGTGAGCCATGGACCTACTCAATATCTGTCGCATGCTGAAATTTCATCTCATAGTTCTTTCCTTATCTCAAGGGGCCCCTGTGATATTTGCCAGAGTCTGGGCTGGCTGCTGAGGTTGTAGCAGTGAACAAGAAGGTCACAGATGTTCTTATTTCTCTCTTCCTTAGAAGTCACGTTCCAGGGCAGAGCTGGACAGTCCACAGCCAGACAAACCATTCATAGTATTCTTTAGGTCAAAGCTAAGTGTTCTGTAGAAGACAAAGCAAAATGATGTCACAGAGACTGGCGGGGGCCCAACTTCGATGGGGGGCTCAGGGAGTAGGAGCACAGATGCCCAAACAAGGCAAGCAGAGGCCAGGGAACAGCCTGCAAGGCTGAGAAAATGGCAAGAGCAAAGGCCCTGATGCAGGGACAGGCTTACTGGCACCGTGAGAAGCAGAGGGCCATTGGAGGAGGGGTGGCCAAGACGGACAGGAGTGTGGGAGGGTTGATGTTGGTAAAGAGCACTTAGTGATACGTGGGTTCTTTTGTTTCTCTTTCTTTCTTAAGGTATTAATTTAGGAAGCCAGTCTGGGTACTTTATGAGCTTCATGTTCTCATACTTGAGGTATCCCCAAGATAAGGAGGCAGCTTATTCTTGAGAGATGCTGCCTGTTTTCCAGGGGGTTTAAAGCCTCATCGTGTTTTGTGCTAAGAAGTAGGCTACAGTTGGGACTTCCCAGGTGATCCAGTGGGTAAGACTCCGCGCTCCCAATGCAGGGGGCCCTGGTTCAATCCCTGGTCAGGGAACTAGATCCCACATACATGCCGCAACTAAGACCTGGAGCAGCCAAAAAAAATAATTTTTTTTAAAAAAAGAGGGGGCAGGAATAGAGACACAGACGTAGAGGACATGGTTGGGGGGGGGAAGGGAAGCTGGAACAAAGTGAGAGAGTGGCATGGACATATATACACTACCAAATGTAAAATGGAGAGCTAGTGGGAAGCGGCCATGTAGCACAGGGAGATCAGCTCGGTGCTTTGTGACCACCTAGAGGGGTGGGATAAGGAGGGTGGGAGGGAGATGCAAGAGGAAGGCACTACGGGGATATATGTATAGCTGATTCACTTTGTTATAAAGCAAAAACTAACACCATTGTAAAGCAATTATACTCCAATAAAGATATTAAAAAAAATAGAATTAGGCTACAGTCTTGAAGAAGACATTGATCTTTCTGCCTGTATTAGTTTCTGTCTCAGCCTTTTCTATTGTCATATATCGTTGCTGGGAGAATCCGGCACTGCGCTGGGAGGGGACACCTGGAAGCTTGTGCCTGGTCTCTCCTAGAACCTGCCCTGTATGCCTCTTTCCTTTGCCAATTTTAATTTGTACCTTTTCATTGTAATAAACTGTAACTAAGAGTTTGACAGATTTTCTGAGTTCAATGCGTCCTTTTAGTCAGTCTTCAGAACCGAGGGCTCTGAGGTAGCTCCTACCTGTCTGGCAGGGCTTGGCACGGCCGCCTCCTGCCAGCTGCTGACTTGTGATGGGAGGGCGCCCTCGCGATCTTCGATCTTCACCTGCAGGCAGCGCTGGAGTCAGTCGCACTGCAACTGCTGAGTGTGGCCATCCCCATCCTCTCCTCCTCCAGCAAATTCCTTCCAGCCACCTTTGTTTTACACGCCGCTCCTCTGGTTAAATTCTTCAGCTCTATGACTTCGTAATCAGGGGTCAGCAAACTTTTTCTGTAAAGAGCCAGATAGTAAATATTTTCTCCTTTGCAGGATGTGAAGTTTCTGGTCACTGCTCAACTCTGCCACCATAGAGTCAAAGTACCATAAACAATATGTAAATGCATGGCATGGCTGTGTTCCAATAAACCTCTATTTATGGACGTGGAAATCTGAATTTCATGTAATTTTCATGTCATGAAATAGTATTCTTTTGATTTTTTTTTCAATCACTAAAAAAATGTAAGAACTGTTCTCATTTTGGGGACGAGACAAAAATAGAAAATGGCCTGTATTTGGCCCACAGGCTGTAGTCTGCTGAGCCCTGGCTTAAATTACTCACGACTCTCGACTTTGATTTCCAGGGATCCCTAGAAGCGAGTGTCCTTTCCTGACTGGCTGTGTGCATGTGGTCTGAGAAGCATCATTCACGTCTGCACCAGGCTGGAGTATGGCTCTTCTGATCCAGCCCACTCTGGGTGGTCCCCCCAACCCCCCATGGGATACAGACTTGGC